CTGATGGGCTTCCCTCTGTGGGTAACATTTTCTGTTAGCCATTTTTTAGATCTATATTTCGTTGGTAGTGGTTCCTGGGTCATTTTTAGTTTCCTTTGATGGTGTTATGTTTGCCTGATCCTTCATAATTCATAAAGCCTTGTTTTGATATCATGCATCTGAAGGAGTAAATACTTCTTTCAGTCATTATAGACTAGTCTGGGGAGGTAAGTATCTTCTCCTATTGGATTTCTGGGCTGATGAGATTTCCACTAAGACTGTAATAAAGTGCTTTGGCTCCAGGTCACATAACACCTACTACTGGGTTTGCAGTGAAATTCATGCTTGTCAGACCTGCTATCGGGGCATCAGACAGTTGTGGATTCTATTTTCTGAGAAGACTGAACTTTCTTTTTTATTTATTTATTTATTTATTTATTTTGAGACGGAGTTTCACTCTTGTTACCCAGGCTGGAGTGCAATGGCGTGATCTCGGCTCACCGCAACCTCCGCCTCCTGGGTTCAGGCAATTCTCCTGCCTCAGCCTCCTGAGTAGCTGGGATTACAGGCACACGCCATGATGCCCAGCTGAATTTTTGTATTTTTAGTAGAGACGGGGTTTCACCATGTTGACCAGGATGGTCTCGATCTCTTGACCTCGTGATCCACCCGCCTCGGCCTCCCAAAGTGCTGGGATTACAGGCTTGAGCCACCGCGCCCGGCTGAACTTTCTTTAAGATGTTGATCAATATGACTGGCACTGCGGGGGGGAAATGCCCTCCAATTATATCTGCAGATAAAGGTGCTGATACAATCAGTGTGAGTAGGTGTGGCTCCTGCTGTGTGGCTCTTGCTGGGTGTTTGGAAATGCTCTAACCTAGTCATTGGACAGGTTCTTAGATCAATGTCTTCAGATCTATTTTTGAGTTCATGGCATTTCTCCCTCTGGATTTCTGGGTGGGTAGGACTTCTCACAGAGTCTAGCTGATGGGGGCCAGAAGTTGGTTATAGGACTGCTTCAAGATTCACAGTAGGAATAAAGTCAGCCAGCATGCCTACAATGGCACATATAGGTGTGCTTTTTGACAGGTACCAGGTTAGGAAAAGCTTCTTCTGGACTTGGAGCCAGGTTATAGTGCCACATCTAGATCCACCATCAAATAAATACTGGTAAGCCTACATCCAGGGGTACAGATGGATGTTTCTGTGGATGTTTGGGCAGGATTACTTCCATACCATAACTGACGTGCAAAGGGTGGATTTTGGTGCAAAGCTTATAGCTTGCAGTGAACCCCGAGAATAAAGTACTCAGATATTCCAGCTGAATGGGGTGGGAGGTAGCTCTTCTTAGAGAGTCTGCCCGAGCACATGTCTGCCAAGTATTTATTGAAAGGGCTTGTATTACCTACTAACATCCACTAGATGGCTTTTCGAGTCGGTTAGTGAGGCACCTGTGACCTTATACGATACTCAAACTGCGTTCTCAGGAGGCTGTTTTCAGCGTTCTTTATCACACCACAGACTCCACTCTCCTGTTTTCAGGGTCAAGGAGTTTCATTCTCATGCACAAATAATATGCACACAGTGCCTCAGTATGTTTCCATACCTCAACCTGAAATGCCTTGTACATAAGCTTGAATATGTTGCTGTGCATCTACCCCTTCTTTAACTCTTAGAGCATGCAGTTATCCAAGGTAAGCTTCTATCGTTCTCTGGTCATAGATGCGTCGATGGCAGCACAGAGCCATCTGCAAATGCCTAGCAAATAGATACAAAAAAGAGTAAGTATAGTGGCCATCACCCAAATGCGTATATCTAACCCAGACAACCAAGTGTTTGGGTTTAACCATTGAAATCCTTGTAATTGCTGAAGGGTACTTGTTTGTAATAGCTGCGACCATTCTTTAAGTTATTTCTTTAATTTACACTCAAGAGTGGAAATTTGAGAAGACAAATGGTTATGAGAAGACCCTTGCAGATGTGCTTTCACTCTCTCCCAAGCATATTGGAAGCTATTATATGGCAGGGGTATGCTACAGATAGAATTATATTGCCAATCACAATGTAAATTTTGACAGGTAATGAATGCCTGCTGCTGATCTGCCAGCCATTCAACAGCAGCTTCAAGAGTCCAGGAGAGACAGAATAGTTGTATCAATATTTACCTGTTCTTGAAATTTATGGGTTACATTGTATACGATGTGGTTTACCACTGAGGCTGTGTGAATAGATTCTGTCCGAGAATCAGCTGCAATAGCAGCAGTTGCTAGTATGATAATAGCTGAGACTAAAAAAGACTATATTTTCTTTTTATTTATTTACTGTAAAATCTAATGCATCATTGTTGAGAATCTCCCCATGCAAATTCTATTTTTATATGGTGCTCACACTAGAGCTATGTTTCTTGTTTTTCATTTTTTTGTTTTTTGCTTTTTTTTTTTTTTTTACTTCATAAAGTATGTGAGCTGGTCAGAAATTATAAGAATGTTTTTTTAAAAATTTAGTGTATAGAAAGTACTTTTTAGATGTAATTTTACAATGTGTGTATTGTTATATTTTATTTAATTAGAACATTTCATTTTAATTGGGTAACCTTATATAAGCTGTTTTCTTTAGTTATTGTTCCTTTCACTTTTTATAATTGACATAAATGGGTTTATTTATTGGGTCAATTTGTTCAGGTAAGTACTGGGAAAACGTTAGAAGTCATAGGGATGTTTTGATATATAATTGTAGTGAACAAACACAAGAAAGTGCTGGGTGTATAACAGTTGGTCCAGAACTAGCCATAAATATTCCTGTAGTTAGTTTGTAGCTCCAAGTAAGAGACCGAAAATATTTATGGTGAAGAAATGGCATTAATTGTGTATGTGGAGAGGACATATGTTCCCAGGCTGCAAAACTGACTTATTCTGAATTTAAAGAGGATTTATGTTTTTATTTTCTGATCATCTTCAGTTTTGTGATGTCTTCATGTGTTTATCCCCAGCTATGTATGCCTCACAGGTGTTCTTTTTCTTTGTGTTAAGGCTACATTTTCCTCACTGTTCTCTTCATGCTATGTAATTTATAATGGACTTTCTAGGTTCCAATGAGAGGACTGGAATTTATTTTTATTTTTTAAATTTTATTTATTTATTTACTTATTTTTACAGACGGGGTTTCACCATGTTGGTCAGGCTGGTCTTGAATCCCTGACCTTGTGATCCGCCCACCTCAGCCTCCCAAAGTGCTGGGATTACAGAAGATTGGAATTTTTAATGTGGTAAATTATTGTTTTTAACTGGGGTGTTTGAGATTATTTATAGCTTATCAATGCAACATTCAGATCACTTAACTGAGATAAAAGTAATTCATTGTCCACAGGTAAGAAGATTAAGTCAACATTGTTTCTCTTTTTTTTTTGTAAAGAGAAAAATTGTACGAGATTCTAACACAGAGTGTATTAAATGTAATATAAGTCAGAATAGGTAAAGCATTAATATAAGTGGGTTACATATTGTAAGCGCCATATGAAGAAATATGTTACAATTTTGAAATCTCATAAGATAACATACATCTTAGAAATAAACTTTTTAAGAGACTTAATGGTATGTGAAGAATTTTAAATATAATTTTCTATGGCATAGCAACTTTTTTTTTAACGCTGAATCTTCTATTTTTGAATGTAAATGTTAAATGTTGGAAAAACAGTGATCTCTGTAGATTCAGAATCTGCAATGATCTTTTTTGTGGAGATTCATATTACAATCTTGAGGCATGTGTTACAATTTTTTTGTTTGTTTGTTTTAGTGGATGCAGTTCATGGGATACAGTTTTCATTTTTAGTCAACTAACTTTATCCAAGTCCCTTGGTCACCTTCTCTGGAAAAAAAATTCGGAGATTATGGCAGTTATTGAATTCAAATATTCATTAGTTACATTAATATAACTTAGCATGTACATTTTAATTTGTACCAAATACTAACCATAACACTTTATATGTGTTAATTTTCACAGAAAATAGCTAGCATAGTTATTATCCGTATTTTACAGAGGGACGAACAGAAAAAAATGACTTCCTCACAACAGCAGAACCAGTACTAAAACACAGGCAACTTTGACTCCAGAGATAACACTTTTAACTATTACAGTAAACACTCTCTTCAAATAGAAAATACATTATTATCTTCACCTATTTTTAATAAATGAAAACCGAATAAATTACGTTTCTTATATATGTATGTGTAAATGTATACATTATAATACAGAAAAGAGAAATAATTCCTCAATTTAAGCCATAAAAACTCTAGAAATTGCTCTTTGATCCTTACGTTTGGGAACAGTTTTCTTTTCAACTGTGCTTTCTCACCTCTCCAGCAATTCAGAATACTTATAGCATATTTTTTTTACCAAGAACTAGTCAGCAAATGCTGTATTATTTACTAGAAACACATCTAATATACTGTGATTTTATTACCTTTTTAAGTGCAAAATTACTGAATCAAATAATTATTTCACTCTATATGAGTTTCCTTTGTGCCTGTTTCTCAGTTTTGCCTAAATACTACCAGTTGTCTTACAGTTGGTCCCCAAATAGTTGTTTATAAAACTTTAAATTATCTCCGGGAACCTCATCTCAGCAGTCAAAACTCAGAGCCCTAGAACTAAGAAAGGACGAAAAAGTTACTATTAATACAAACTTCTATGCCTTTTAGAAAAGACTCTATGCATATGCAGCCATCTGGAAAGAGGATTTTGACAGCAAAGGATACCCCTATTAAATCAGCAGGAAGTAGCCAGAAAGAGTCATCACCCAAACCCCCTAACAGCAGTTAGGGTGACTTCTCCGCAGGGGTGAATTTTGCAGGAGTTAAGAAATTTATAATTTCATTTATGTGAGATATTTTTAGTCGCTCATGAAAACAAAATACAATGGTGTTTGTCAAGAGCCTGGGAGTGTGTGAAAGTGTTACCAATAATTGTAAGGTTCTTAGTTCTTGTTTTCTTGAGAGATATAATTCAGCCCAGAGACAATTAGCGAAGCAAGCCAAGAGCTTATTAAAGGAAAATAAAGTACACACTAAAAGAGGAGGGGGGTGGTCCAGCTGGAAACAGCCTTGAGAGTTACATGTTGCCGTTTTTATTATCATAGATTTTAACAAAAAAATTTCCATCTCTGTCTTAAGTGGCCTTTGTCTTTGTTTAGTTTCCTGCTTCCAGGTAAATCTCTTTTTTTATCCTCACTGAGTTTCTGCCCAGGTCTGTGAGATGCTTCCTTACTGTCAGCTGATTGTTCCAGCGATCAATGAGTTAATGGCAGCATTGCTAATTACCATCACCCCAGGAAAATCACATAGCATTCAAATCTGTACTTATTGTGCCTACATATCTCTTAGGAATTTTCCTTTTGCCCTTTCCCCCTTTTTATTAGCATGTAGCTAGCTACATCTTGACAGTTTAATCACAGTATGAGCAATTACTGGGTGTCTTAAGGGGTGTTTCCAGGTGTACTTTATTCATAGGCATTTCCACTCCTCTCTGTTCAAATTTAGCATACATGTTTTGGGTTGTCTTTGAAGCATGAGATTATTTCTCCCCCAGGAGCTCTTTTTTTCTGCTCATGTCTAACTAACTGCCTGCTCTAAAATTTCCTCCTCAATAGATTGAGACTATAAATCTTTGAGTCTAGGGACACTGTGGGTCTTCTGTAACTACTTCCTGCTGATATAAAGAACTCATCAGTGTGTCATTATCTTGCTCTTTGTCAGAAACAGATTCCCTCAATGTTCTTCCAGAAAGTTCAACATGCAGTGTCCAGAGGAAAATGTGGAGGACCATCGTTGTCCAGAAGGGATGAAAGTAGGCTGATATTCCTATTGCAGGACTGTTTGAAGACTGAGAGTTTCTAGGTGAGGGGAAACAAACCTAGTTACTGGATTTAGTGAGCAAGGCCCACAAAGAAAAAAGACAAAGACTAGGGATCCCCCAAAAATGAGATGTCATGAGAATTGGGACCAGGTGGCGCCCCAGGAGAACCAGCTCTAAGTGTCATGTTTCTGATGGTGACAGGCCTGGTTTATAAAATCTCTAATATGGTCCTGGACTTTCCCTACTTTGTTAACCTAGAAACAGCATTTTTCTCCTTGAGTAAGGCAAATTCTTTCCTGAGCTGCAGCTGGTGTGGCAAGACCTCTGTAGTTTGGAACTACAGCCATGAGATAATCAACTTGTTGCTGTCACTCTGATAAGTGATTTCTGTTTTGTGAGTCAGTACCCGAGACAGGTTGTGGTAAGTTGAGTAGGCAGTAATTATGCCAGCTATTCCTGTAGTGGCACTTGAGATGCCAAGAAAAAAAGAAGATAACCTGCTCAGTTGATCTGATGTTGTTATACCCATGCGAGTCAAAGAATGCACCACATTCTGATTGAATTACGAGTCCTTTATTGAGCTGGCGACCAAGAGTGCTAACGCCCAAAATTCTCTCAGCCCTGAAGAAAAAGTTAGGTGGTCTTTTATACATTAGTTTTAACATGGAGGGGGAAGCTAGCTGAAGCAAATTTTTCACAAGAGCAGAGTAAGCAAAAAGTTAAAAGATAAACTGATACATAAGAAATAAAACAGTGCCAGGTGCAAGGGGTAAAGCTGTCATGAAAGACATACTAGATAATGGGGGCTCTGGGCGCCAACTTAACCTGCATTTCCAGGCTCTGCTGGTACCAGTTAACTTATCAACAAATGCATTCCTGGGTGCCCAGTGTCAGCCTGACCCAGCTTCATACTATAGTTACAACTTAATGGTGAGAAAATAACTAAAATGAAGAAGACAAGATGGAGTCTATCTGGCTCAAGAAGCTAACATAAAACCTGGACAGCTTTTAGTCTGAGAAAGAGTTAGTGGTAAAGAGTAACAGTAAAGAAGCATCACCTGTGACAATGGAAGTTTTAGGGGTGAAGAGAGATACGCTTGCATTTCACATAGGAAGTTCTGTAGTCGATAAAAATGGATGCAGAAGGTGAGGTCAGTTCCAAGCATTGACCAGGGTCCTTGTTAGCTACCCAATATGTGAGATCCTGCCCCTAAAGCTACTGCTGCCTATGGAGGCAGACATGGGTCCTATTTTTCCTTTTAACATGGTCATGTGTCTGGTAGTATCAAGAAGGGTTTTCTGAAAGAAATTAAAGACTTGAAACCTTTTGCATAACTTATACTGGCTTGATCGATATGGGTTGAGTTGACTACCAAGAAGGGTGGCTGATGCAGAATTCAGTGGCATCATTTTGGATGAATGGTCCAGGAGTTAAAACATTTGGGAGAAGAATAGAAAATCTAATTTGACATTGAGAATATTTAGTGAAACAAAAAAGTTTGATAAGTATCAATAATGGTGCTTGTTATGTTGCATTGTGCTTGGTCAAAAGCACCCACAATTGTTCTGGAATTTACAGTAGCACAGAGGCATACAAGTGCCTAGCCAATGAGGGTAGCAGAGGAGAACAAGGGTCTTGAAACAATGAAGATGGGTTTAAGAAAATCTTTAAAGGCTGCTTTAGGTTGTGTTAAAAATATTTTGTTAGCAGGGAGAAGGTTTTGTATAGAGAGGTCCTGATGGCAGATGAGGCTAAGTTGGGCTAACAGGCTGAGGCATAGGAACAATTGGTAGTTTACTAGTTGTTGAGTTGCTTGCAGAGTGCAAAAAAAAAAAAAAAAAAAAAGAGGAAGGGGGCAGTTAGGGCTTATGAGGTCATTTAGTCAGAAGTATGAGTGATGACCATAGAACATTAGGTTGCATGGTTCCAAGGGAAGTAGAATAGTACCAAATTGAGATGCTTTTTGATTAGGAAGAGAAACTGTTAACCCAATGAGTATTAGAGATCACTACTCAGATTATGGCTTTGATGTTAAGGAGGGACATAGCAAACTCTTCCCTGGAGTGGGTATTGGTTTACAGTAACAAAGACATTAGTAAATGTGCAGAGTATTATGAGTTGTAATATTAACACCAAAATATTACTAACATTGCTGATGGCCTAAAGCAGTCAAAAATAAAATAACTAAATTAGGTTAAAAAATTAGTATTATATAAAGCAAGCTCTTAATGGAGATCCCGGTGGTGTGCAAGTTAGGATAAAAATAAGAATCAACAGTACCAATGCAAATAAGATTGCCAGTATTGGGATTACCCTATTTTGAGGTAAAAGGAGGGAGAACATTACTTATCTTCTCATTTTGAGAGAAATTTTTAAGTCCTCCTGTGGCTGAGTGTTGGCTCCATCACCATGTTTCTAGTTGTATTCAAAAGTAATGTATCCCACTAGAGATGCCAGAAAACTTGATAACTATTGGGGTGGAAAGTATGATAGTAAAACTGTTCTTTTGTAATGAGGTTAGTTGAGATCCGAGAGATGCATCTCACCAGATTTTAATGAGGACTTGTCACCCTGCCTGGTTATAAGGGTTGTTAGGGGAGCCAACTCCGAATTGTTTGTCCAAATTCCTGGATGGCCTCTTGAAATTGAGTCAGGGATTTTATGTACTGGGTTAATTTGGTTTGCATGTGGGTTATTAGGTTTGCATGTAGGATCTCCAATATAGGACTTCAAAGAAACTAAGGCATAGATATAATTTAGGGGCTGTTCTGATCAGAAGTGCCATGGGCAAGAAGTTTTAGCCATGGTAAAGAGGTATCCTGGCATCATTTGCTCAAGGTCCTTTTAATAGCTCAATTAGTCCCTCCTACCTTCCTAGAAGGTTGTGGTTTTCAGGAGTATGAAGAGTATTTTATCCCTAGGGCTTTTGCCACTGTTTATGTAGTTTGTAAAATAAAATATGGGCCATTGTTACCTTGTGAAGACCATGGAAACGCAAAAAGATAATTTCTTTCAGAATTATCTTGTATCTTTTTTCTCAACTCCTTGTATTTTTTCTATTCTGGTATGAGAGGCTTCAACCCAGGCAGTAAAGGGCATTTGTAGCCTTGATAGGCTGACGATTAAGTGAAGTCTACCTACCATTATTCCCACTGATATGTAATTCAGGCAAGAAAATAATATGTGAAACAGTGTGAAAGAGCAAAAAAAAAAAAACAAAGAGGGAAGGAAAACCTACTATTGTAGAGGAGGATGATCCTGAGCTGTTCAAACAAGCTGTATATAAACAGACAATGAAACTCTTTGCTAAGCTGGAAATTAAAAGGAAAGAGAGAGAAGCCAAAGAGGAAACGACAAAGGAAGAGATTGAAGCTCAAGAAAAAGCCAAACGAGAAAGTGGCAGAAAAACTTTAAGAAAAGTTGAGATGTTTGTGTGGACAGCTGGCAAAATTTCCAAGCCACACAAAGGGGAAGAAAGAAGAAAAATCGGACTTTCCTGAGACCACCAAATGTAAAAATGGAGCAACGTGAGTGACCACCCAGGGTCACAGGCGCAGAACCTTCCCCCTGCTGTCTCCCTTCCTGCTTCAAATGACTCATTCTTTCTTCCCATTTCCATCCCAACATAGAGTACTATTTGCTTTTTAGACCATTTTGTTTTCAATACAATTTAATATTGATCAGAGTAATTCTTTTGTACATTGAAATGAGGGGCTTGGTTTAAAAAAAAAGACCTTCCCCTCTCCCTGCCCCTAGAACCACCAGGATTGGAAGGTGACACCATTGGTGCTGACTTCTCCTCCCACAGCCTGTAATTTAATGTTTTGTACTTCACTGAATTGTTATGGTTAGAAACTCTGTGGATAGTTTGTGGAAATCATCCAATTAAACTTATTGCTTAAAATGGTGTTGCTGTGACTTGAGACAAGCCTGGGCACCTTAGGAAGCCCTTTTGCTTCAGCTGCTCACTTCTGGGTGTGCGCCCTTTGAAGGCCCAGATGAGACAGGGAACACTTGTGGGCACTCAGAGCAGGCTCCTGATGCCCTGTGGCATTTGGCATGTGCCCTCCCATCTACTGACTAATCAGTGTGGCATGAGGCCTACATCACCCAAACCTTTCACTTTCCAAAGAGCTACCCATCCTCCACCCAGTACCATGGTGTCCTAGCCTGTCTGCATTTGTTAGTGGCAATATTCTTTATATATAAAGAATTTTGTTAGTGGTAATATTCTTATGTTTAATAAATTTTTATATACCAAAAAAACAAAAAAAAAATTTTTGGCAGAGAAGTGATTTACTTAGAGAAAGAGAAAAAGGAGATGGGAAAGCTTCCATGAAGAGTGTGGAAGGGGACCCCAGGGGGAAAATCCCAGAGAGGAAAGACAGCTTCCACAAAGGGAGTGTGGAAGGGGACCCAAGTATGGAATCCAGGAGAGGAAAAGCAGCTTCCACAAGTGTGTAAGGGGACCCCAGAGAGGTAAGTCCACCTGAACGAGGGAGACAGGGACGTTTAATATGGGAGGAATTCCCACCTTCTCCAACCCCCTGGCCAATGAAAAGAGTTCCCTTAAACTTCCGCTACAGTGGTTGACTTTTCACCTTTTCCCATGCCTGCGAAAATTAAAACAGAAACGGTTAAAACTCCTGGAAGGAGAGGCATGGGAGGGGGGTATGGCTCTGGGAAGTTTTTTGCCCTTAAAACTACACCCCCTTGTGGACCCAGAAAGAGAACAATTCCCTCATTCCCCCCTCTCAACAGGAAAGTTCAACTCCTGTTGGAACATGGGCATTGATCGCTATTTACTTCCTGCTGAAATTGGGCAAAGAAGGGGCCCTGTGGGTGCAGGTTGATCCTGAGGTCCACGAGAGAGCTCATGAGCCAAGGGCATTTGGGGTTCCAGCAGCAGGATTATGTGTAACCTTATGATTACAGGCATGTGCCACCATGCTTGGCTAATTTTGTATTTTTAGTAGAGATGGGATTTCTCCATGTTGGTCAGGCTGGTCTCCCTAACAACTCCTGACCTTGGGTGATCCTCCTGCCTCAGCTTCCCAAAGTGCTGGGATTGCAGGTGTGAGCCACCACACTCAGCTGAAAAAGGATTGTTGACAGCAAAGGATACCCCTATTAAATATGGTTCAGAGTTTTAACCTACTCCAGGCTATCCACCTACCACAGAAAACTGTAGTTCATTGCTGGGGTTACCAGAAATGCCAATATGAGATTACCTAGAGAAACAGAGGGTTGGCCAAGCTGGGGAACTCCTTATGGCCCTTATCCCAATTTTGCCTAACAACCTGCCCACCCTGCAATATGCCCAAGAGAAAAAGAAATGCGTTCTCAAACGTGAATATACCCTGGGATCTGAAAGACTGTATAAACTGGGAGATGTTCTTTGTTTTCCTCAGGTACTCCAGCAGAAATAAGGGCACTCCATAATTCTTGTCTCTTTGGGAGAGACCATCTCCATCAGCTGTAAACAAACAAAAACAAAAAACAAAAAAACCCTCTTTTTTTTTTTGACAAGTTTGTAAAGCCTGTCCATCTGTGTCTATAATAATCCTCAAGGCCTTAAGCTACTCCCCTTAATTCAGCCAGTTCAGCAAGAAGAAACCAACCCAGCTGCTTGGGAGGCTGAGGCAGGAGGAGAATTGCTTGAACCTGGGAGGTGGAGGTTGTGGTGAGCAAAAATCATGCCATTGCACTTCAGCCTGGGAAACAAAAGTTAAACTCCATCTCAAAAAAAGAAAAATCGTTTTTCTTTCCAAATGATGGCATAATTGTGAAATACTAAAAAGGCATATTTGGTATCTGTATAAATAGTAACTAACTCCCTGGTCAGGACTATGTGCTCTAGACTGCTGAGCTGAACTTCCCAGGGATAGTTTTATAAACAAATGATTTGGAAAGCAACTGTAAGGTAATTAGTAGTACTAGGCAAAACTGAGAAACAGACACAACGAAAACTAATGTAGAGTGAAATAATTAAGAAATTTGTATTAGAAAGGCAATTAAATCATAGTATACTGCTTGCATTTGTAGTAAATATTTGATTAATCCCATTATAGCATTTGCTGACTACAGGTTAAGATAAAAATTATGCTATATTCTGAACTGCTGGAGGGGTGGGGAATGGTGACCAAATTGCAGATGATGGGCTCAGGTTGCTCCCTGGTGGGCTGTGTTCTTCCAGGCCCTTGGTCCCTCACTCACCCAAGAATGGGGGAGAGGACCATGCCAGATGCAGTGGGCTCTTAAGTAAATATTGAATCCCAAAGAATTTTGCAGAAAGTGATTTATTTAGGCAGAGAGAGAGAGAAAAAGGAGAAAGAAAAGCAGCTTCCATGATATCTTTCCCTGTGCGTGAAAGTTAAAGACCTCTAAGCTCCCTGATGGGAGAGGTGGGCAGAGGCATGGTACTGGGAAGTTCTTGCCTTTGAAACCTTGCCCCCTTGTGAACTTGGAGAGAATACTACATTCTCTCAGAAGGACAGCTGAAGGAAAGTGTGTTCCCCAGTACGTGTCAGTATCAAAGGGCAATTTCTAGAGTTTACATAGTTCAGGAAGTATTTCTTCTTTATATATATCATATTTTGTACATTTGCACGCACACATACATAACAAAAATGTACTAAGAATGGGCGAAGGCAATTATTTTGTTTTAAGAGGGTATTTACTGTAATAAAGTGTTTCCTCTGGAGTCAAAGTTGCCTGTGTTTTAAAACTGGCTCCACTATTGTGACCAAGTAATTTTTCTCTGTGGCTCTGTTTCTTTCTCTGTAAAATAAGGACAATAATAATAAAAAAGCCGAATTTCATTAATACATGCTTTAATACAGAAATATCTTTTAATTAAATAAAATTTCCAGCCAATAAATGGATATTTCGTTTTTTTAAAAATGTGGTGTACACAAGGAAATACAATTCAACATTAAAAGTGAGGAAATATTGTCACTTGAAACAATATGAATAAATTTGGAGGACATTATGCTAAGTGAAAATAAACCAGACAGTAGAATGCTGCTTACCAGATACGTGGGTATTTTGAAAAAAAGGAGCATTTGGAGAGCTGTCTGTAAAATAATACATAATTACTGATGGCTAGTCTATTGCACAGCATGGTGACTATAGTTTAACAATGAATTGTATTTTTGAAAAATGCTAAGACAGTGTTATGTGTGCTCTCACAAAAATATAATTACTATTGAGTTTAAGCATTGGTTAATTACCTAGAATTAAGCCTTTGAGAGTATGTCTATGTATTTCAAAACACCGTATCTGTCAATTAAAAATGCATTTTAAAAACCATCATAGGATAATAACGTTTCAAATGCTGGTCTGTCTTGAATATTACCAAAAATAGATACTTTTTCTACTGGTTTTGTAATATAATCACAGAAGCTGCAATACTAGCATGTCCGAGACCCAGAACACTATATAAGACAAGTTGATGTACTCTAGGGCTTTTGCTTTCAGCTTGAAGCACCTGGAGGAAGACACTAAAAAAGGGTAACTGTCGCTAAAGGGTAACTGGCCATGGTGTGAACAAAGTAAATGAATTTGCATTAAAAATCAGCCAGGCACGGTGGCTCAAGCCTGTAATCCCAGCACTGTGGGAGGCCGAGGAGGGTGGATCACGAGGTCAAGAGATCGAGACCATCCTGGTCAACATGGTGAAACCCCGACTCTACTAAAAATACAAAAAATTAGCTGGGCATGGTGGTACGTGCCTGTAATCCCAGCGACTCAGGAGGCTGGGGCAGGAGAATTGCCTAAACCCGGGAGGCGGAGGTTGCGGTGAGCCGAGATGGCGCCATTGCACTCCAGCCTGGGTAACGAGGGAAACTCCGTCTCAAAAAAAAAAAAAAAAAAAAAAAAAAAATCACTGAGAAAATGTTAAATAACAGCTGCCATACTCTCCAAAATTTTTCCTAAGAAAGTGACGAAGGACTTGGTTAAAGTTAGGTGACTAAGAATGAAAACTGTAGACCATGAACTGCATCCACCAAAACAAAAAATCCTAAGAGAAATTCCTCAGGATTATAATATCAATCTGGACAAAAAAGATCATTCTAAATTTTGAATCTACAGATACCATTCTAACACTTAAGATTGACATTCAAAAACAGAAGATTCTGCATGAAAAAATAAGTTTTGCTGTAAGTATGTCATAGAAAATTAAATGTACAATTCTTCCTCTACCATTGTCTCCTAAAACTTTTACCTCTAAGATACATTTTACTCTTAAGAAATTTCAAAATTCTGATCTGTTTCTTCATATGGTGCTGACAATATGCAACCCGCTCATATTAATTCTTTACTTATTCTAACTTACACTTAAAAATTTTCTTTCATAAAAAAAATGCTGACTTAATTCTCTTACCTGTGAATGGTAAAATACTTATCTAAATTAAGCAATCTAAATGCTGCATTGATAAACTATAAATAACCTCAAATAGCCCAGTTAGGAACAATTTACCACATTAAAAAAATTCAAACTTATCAGAACCTAGAAAGTCCATGTGAAATTACATGGCATGAAGAGAACAGTGAGAAAACTGCAGCATAACACAAAGAAGGAGAGAGGCTGTGATGCATACATAGCTGTGGATAAACACATGAAGATATCATAAAACTATAGATAATTAGAAAATAAAGACAGAAATCTCTTTAAATTCAGAATGAGTCAGTTTTGCAGTCAGGGAACAGATGTCCTCTTCCACATGCAGAATTAATCCCATTTCTTCACTATTGATATTTTCAATCTCTTACTTGCAGCTACAAACTGACTCCAGAAAGCATATGGCTAATTATAGAGCATCTATTACACAACCAGTACTTTGTTTGTTCACTACAATTACATTTTGAAATATATCCATGACTTACAAAGATTTCCCAGCACTTACCTTAACAAATTGGCCCAATACATAAACTCATTTATGTCAATTAAAAAGTGAAAGGAACAACTAAAGAAAACAGCTCATATAGGGTTCTCCAATTAAAGCAACAAAATGAAATGTTCTAAATAGATAAAATATAACAATACACAAATGAACTTGCATCTAAAAATTCTGTGTGCAGTATGAAATTTTATAACACATTAAGCTCACATAATATTTCTTGAAGTGAAAACAATATTAGATTACAAAGAAACATAGATTTGATTTCAGAATATTTTAGGTTTCTGGATTTCTAGTAAATTATCCACCTTATTAAAAGAATCTTCTTTGTTCCAATATTGATATTTTCTTTGGAAAACAGGTACAAACTCTCACACAAACACTATTGCTTGCTCCATAGTTTTCTTAAGGTTTATTTTTAGAGCAATATGTTTAAATATTTAACTTCATGTAAATAAAGTCAAAGTCTGTATGTATTTATAGGATAAATATGTTACATGTTAAAAGATATGAAAATTTTTAAAAGCATTCATGATTCAGAAATGAATCATAATTATATAATATTACAATCATAAAACTATCTGTAGTAAATATTTGATGAAGAACTCTTTAATGGATTATTATGTGGTATATTCCTGTATTCAAATAACTCATATATGCCATAAATATGTATAGATACTATGTGTCTACAAAAGTTTTAAGAAATGAAGAATATGGAACAATAAAAAAAATGTCATTTGAATATGTTCTCAACTATGTTTCTCACCTGTATGAATTCTCCTTTGTACAGTAAGGGTTGAGGACCAAGTAAAAGCTTTACCACATTCTTCTCATGTGCAGTGTTTCTTTCCAGTATGAATTTTCATTAAAGGCTTTGCCACATTCTTTACATTTGTATGGTTTCTCTCCAGTATGAATTTTCTTATGTTGATTCATGCTGAGGACTAACGATTTTGCCACATTCTTCACATTTGTAGGGTTTTTGCCTAGAATGAATTCTCTTATGTTCAGTAAGGTGTGAAGACCTATAAAAGATTTTGCCACATTCTTTACATGTGTAGGGTTTCTCACCACTATGAATTCTCTTATGTTTATGAAGGGATAAGGACTGAGTAAAGATTTTGCCACATTCTTCACATTTGTAAAGTTTTTGTTCACAATGAGTGCGCCTGTGTAAGGTTTAATGATTGGTAAAAAACTTTGCCACATTCTTCCCATGTGTAGGGTCTCTCCAGTATGAATATTCTTACGTTCATTCAGGCTTCTGGACTGTCTAAAGGCTTTGCCACATTCTTCACATGTGTATGGTTTCTCTCCAGTATGAATTTTCTTATGTTCATTCAGTGCCGAGGACCGACTAAAGGCCTTGCCACATTCTTCACATTGGTAGGGTTTCTCTCTGGTATGAATTCTCTTAACGTTTGTCAAAGCTTGAGGATGAGGTAAAGATTTTACCACATTCTTCACATGTGAGGGGTTTCTCTCCAGCATGTATTCCCTTATGTTGAGTTAGTTGTAGAAACATGGGAAATAATCTGCCACATTTTTTACATCTAAATGGTTCCTCTCCACTATGTCTTGTCTTATG